AAAAAAAAAAAAGGAATAGAAAAAAAGAAACAAGATTATTTTTGTATTTTATTTGTTTGAAAAAAAAAATTTTTATTAAACTTTGATAATTTTTCAGCCAGAGATTACGAGATAGTTAGGAATCAAGTGGAATTAGGTGAAATTATTGGAGAAGGTCAATTTGGCAATGTACATAAAGGTTCATACAAAGGGCGGGACAATCAAGTTATACCGGTGGCGGTGAAAACCTGTAAAGTCGATGCAGATCTCGCGACGTCGGAGAAATTTCTCGAGGAAGCCTGTAAAGAAATTTTAATTGAATATTCATTGAATCGACAACGAATGAAAGTTTAGAAATGACATCTATGATATATGCGTATAAATTTCAGATATAATGCAACAATTCGAGCATCCTCATATTATAAGACTTATCGGTGTATGCTCGGAACCACCCATTTGGTTAGTAATGGAATTAGCCAAATTGGGAGAGATGCGAGCTTATCTGCAGTCGAACAAACATCGTCTAGATCTCGCCACTCTTCTACTTTACACATTTCAATTGAGCACTGCCTTATCGTATCTGGAAAGCAAGAAATTTGTCCATAGGTAATTTCGATTAATATTATCGAAATTATGATTGAAGAGAATATCTGATGATTGTATTTTGCATTCTAAATATATTTTCATCGACTTATTTTACATATACAGGGACATTGCTGCGAGAAACGTGCTAGTTTCTGCGCACAATTCCGTAAAATTAGCGGATTTTGGTCTTAGTAGGTGGGTGGAGGATCAAAGTTATTATACAGCAAGTAGGTGTAAGTTGCCCATTAAATGGATGGCACCGGAGAGTATTAATTTTCGAAGATTTACTACATCTTCTGACGTTTGGATGTTTGGTAGATATTTCTTTTTTTACAACGAATAAATTTCTCTTAATATTCCAAAAAATGTAAAACAATTTTTCTTTTATCCTTCTAGGTGTATGCATGTGGGAAATTTTAATGCTAGGCGTAAAACCATTTCAAGGTGTAAAAAATAACGAAGTGATCCGTAAATTGGAAAACGGAGAAAGACTTGCATTACCGAATCATTGCCCTCCACGATTATATTCTTTGATGTCTCAGTGTTGGAGTTACGAACCCAGTAAACGACCAACGTTCAAAGAGATCAGAGAAACTTTACAGTACGTGATGCACTTTCATCTTCTTCTTTCTCGATTCGACATCTTTCCCATTACGAAAAATTATTAAATGTTGCAGTGAAATTTTATTGGAAGAGAAACATCAGCAACAAGAAACGATGAGACGGGAGAACAGAAGAGTACAAGCCATGTCTTGGGGTACGTATAATGAAAAATAAAGAACAAGGAAGAAGCGTTTATATATAAAGCTTCGATTCGAGATATTTTATGGTGCACGTAGTAGGATAATCTCTCGTCGTTTATAGGGGCAGACGATGTACCGCCACCGAAACCTTCGAGGCAACCGCAAAACACGACGGATCAATCTCAGTTAACCGCCGCAGCGCCGGTCTCGACATATATTGTTGCGCAAAATCCCGAGGTTCTTGCGCAACTTCTCAAGGATAATCAAACTAGGGGGGTATGTCCCTCCGTCTACACAACCCCTGCCTCGCCTTTCAATACCTTAGCCGTACAATTTCAAGACGAAGATCAAGTCTTAACCACTGCTTTAGTTTCAGATCTACCCTTTTTCGATCCAACCACTTCAGAACCTTCCGCCTCTCATGACACTCATTCGGGAGATTCCACTTTGTCCGACACTAATCTGGATTCCCTCGATTCCTCGGACACTCCTCTCATGTCTAGTCTTAACATTTCAGACGCGACACAAGCTCAATCCCCCGCTGCTAACAGAAAGCAGCAGAAGGTTAAAGAGATGCAAAATTTGTACGCGGTTAGTTCAAAAGTTGTTGGTAGCATTGCAGGAGATTTGTATTCTCCAGTGCAAAAATTCACAACGTCCGGTGCTATTCCAATAACAACTAGCGTAGCTAGTTGCGGCGAAATATACGGGCCTGTCGCTAATTTCACCCAAAGTTCCGCCATCGTTGGTAATCTTAGTCAAAGTCCCAGTGTAGGTGGTAATTTTGGTGAAAATCCTGGAAATTTTGGGCCCAGCAGCTTGAATAGTATCGTAGGATTGAATAATCAAAATCAATTGTCAAATTTCGGCCAATTCTCTAATAACACGAACCAAGCTTTTAACATTGCTCAACCGGTCAGCCAAAATTCTAATTGCATACAAAATCCTACAACCGCTGTCGTGTATCCCCGTATACCGGTTGTTACTTCGAGTAACGCTGCTATTTCTGCATCCAATACGGAATGTTTGTACGGACCTGTGTTAAAATTCCGAGCGCAAAACATCCAAAACCAAAATGTAACTGATTTGAAATCCGTAAACGTGTCTGTTGGAACTACCATGGCGAATGTTAGAGGCAATTTAGCGCATACTTCTACTCCAGGACCAAACCTGCAAACACGACCTGCACACGCTCAGAATTATCAGCATCAACAAATTTATTCGAATATAAGTGCAGCGACACCACAACCGATGTATATGCCGCAGAATGCGCAAAACAATCAAAAACAAAATCCAATTCATCAATCTGTTTCTTACATCCCGTCGCAACATACGAATCAACAAAATCAAGCAATCAGCGCTAATCCAATTTACACGGCGCAAGCGACTTCTGTTACGGTCGTGCAAGCTCAGAAGGTTCAAGGCCCTGTATATGTGCAACAAATTCAAGCTGGAATTAGCCATGTGCCGAGTTCCCAAGCGATGAACGTGAATCAGCAGCAATTGTCTTTTGAAATAGCACAAAGTCATCCCATTCAAGTGCATTTCGCCACATCAGGTGGTACGGTCCAATCAAGTAGCCAGCAACATCTTCATTCAAGCACATCTAATATTGTAATCGGTCAACAATCAAGTTCCATTACTGCCACGCAACATAGTCAAGCACAATGCAACGTAGCGAATCTGCCAATTACTGCTGCAACAAACGCAACACAGTATTTAGTACAGCCAATAGTACAATCAGGGATGATAAGATCTACTACACCTCAAATAGCAACCGGTGTTGCAAAGATCACTACATTTGTAAATCAAAAGCAAGATGAACAACTAACAAGTTCGACAGATGGCACACTCTCTGGATCACTGATATCCTCTGCAGTCAGTGATAGCACAATGTCATCGAGCAGCTCGATGACAGAGGAGGCACAGCAAGATCAGGTTTGGCAACGCCTCCTAGGAATGAAAATCGCATCCTTTATCTGCAACAGCATATTGTTTTTATTTATAATTCGAAATTCTTGCAGCACTATACTTTTGTTGCAATTCAAATATATATATATATAT